GCGTAACAGCGGGTATTCATCATGCCATCTACCATTTATCTTCAAAAATGTTTTGTCACGATAAGAATTTTGACTTATGATAAATTTCAGCTACTATATAAAAAAAAAAGACTAAAATGTTATTTTTACTATTTTCTCTGCTCTTTGTTCCAAAGTGGAGAAATCAGTAAATTCAAAAATCGGATTAAATGAAGTCTTAATGTGCAGTTTAGTGATATAAATCAGACTTCTTTAAGTGGCGGCTTGAAGAAACCCATTTCAAATAGGAATGTTTTCCAAACACAGTATTTGTACAAAAGTTGTGCCTTAAAGTTACATTAAAAAAAAGAATAAATGGTATCATAAAATACTGTGATAAAATTCCAAGTCCATATCTACCTTAATACAGTGCCTTGTAAAGGTTTAAAGACCCCTTAAACTTTTTCACAACTCGTAATATTACAAACACAAACTTTGTTATATTCCAAATGGGATAAGAGACCAACACACAGACCGCAACAGACCAGAATCATCCTATCTGGCTAGTAAACCTTTTCCCATGTTTGCTGTGCCTCTAAATAGCTTATGGCCATTAGGAGGTTTTTTTTTGACAGCGACTTCTTCTGGTCACTAATCAAAACATGCCAGGTTTGTGGAGTAAACAGCAGCTGGCTTTTCATCTTTCTAGATTCCTCAACCTGACCTGTCATTCTCTGCACCTGCTCAAGAGTTCTCAAATGACTTTTCAGCTTTTCTTCCTGACCGTTACTTGCCTTCTCCAACGAATAATGCTCGGCACTGTGTTGTTCATACAGATTTAGGCTGGTACCTCCGTCTCTCTCAGACGACGCTTTAAAGTATCACTGGAGTCGGTTTTCCCCCGCAGGCGCTCCAGATCCCGCTCCAGTCGCTCTTTGGCCTGTCGGACATTCTGCAGCAGCTCCGTGGCTTCTGTGCTCGCTTTCACTGCCTGGGGAAAAATCAGAAGGTCAAAGGCTGCTAATGTGTCCCAAGACAAGCATCTTGATGTGCTTGTCCAACCCTTACCCATGGAGGTCGAAGAAAGAAAAAAATAAATAAAGAAAAGCTACTCCTGTGAATAAACTGAGTTCTATAGCAAAATGCAAATGTGACAAAGCTGCTTGCATCCTTACATTTTTGCAACGTGCCGAGAACATGCGTTCTTTGTTTGCGAAAAGGGAAACGGATACAGGTAAATTTACCTTAGACAGTTTGTCTTGGAGCTCTTGGATTTTCACCTGCTGTTCAGAGTTGGTCTACGAGGTAGCAAAGAGTGAATTTACTAATCAAATTTGATAACTTTAGATTTGCAAAAATAAACAGCAGCCTGATTCCTCATTTACCTTCTCGAGTTTGGAAAGAAGCTCCTCCACTTCAGCTTTTCCCTGCTCTTTAGCCTGAAAATGAATAACAGACAGGTTAGTCAACATTTCCTCACTGAGAACACGGCTTACTGTTAAATGATGGACTTCTGAGAAATAAAAATGATTTTAGTGAAATTTATCATATGAATGACTATATTTATTACCCAGCAGAAATGTATCCACAACTATCGATACAGTCGTGTAGCTTTGTTCTTATAAACTACTAATTAATCCAAGAGCTTTCAAGCACTGGAGGAAAAGCAAACACCATGGATCTGCAGTTTTGCTCCAATTGCTCGACACGAGGAAGACCTTCATCGTTTCATTTGCACAATAAGGAAATATTAAACTACTACATAATGAGTGCAAATAACTGAAGGGAAAACAAGAATTTAAAATTGAGGACGCTTTAGACAATCTATAGATCTAGTTTGTTTTGATTAAAAAAAAAAGTAAATAAACCTTCTGGATTCTCTGCTGGTATTCCACTGCTTTTCGTTTAAGTTCCTCGCTTGTTTGTCTGGAGTCTCTCAGCTCGGCTTCGTAGAGGTCGCTGCGACGCCTTGCAGCTGAAAGGTCCTCTTCCAGCTGCCTGATGGTCACTTGCATCTCCTCCAGCTGGGCGTGGTACTCCTGAGGAGCAGCACGCGGTGGTGAATAATAACGAGGGGCGAAAAAAAAAATAAAATAAAGTAAAGAAGTTGCTCCTTTTGTTGTTAAATTATATTGATGGGTCCAGAAATCATTCCGTTTTTCAGATTTGTTTTTTAATAAAAAAGAAATAAAATAATGGGATCATTTGAAGTGTGGCAAGACACAGCTGATTTACTAATAGAACATCTATATGGATTCAGATCATAGTTATTTGTGGTTTGCCTCTGCATATTTTACATGAAGACCTGGTGTGTTTGAGCCAGTGTAATTACTGGGTGTCCCCCTGCCCCCTGTATGGTGGTTGGGAGAACCTCTTGGTCAATTGCTCATGTTTTGAACCTTGCAGGGATGCCATCTGCTCTGATGACCTTTATGAGTGTCGGCCACCCAGAGGGGAAGCCCCGTCTGTGTAACAGACACACAGAGGGGGAAATATTATCTCACTGCTTCCTCACTCACTCTGCTATCAAATATGGCTTAAAATAAACCCTGAAAATTTACAGAAGACTTGGAAAAGACTCCAATGTTGCGAGTGGGAAAAATTAAACCTTAGGGTTTTTTTCCCCTCCCCCCATGACATACTTGTTCCTTAATTTCTTGCAGCTTGTTGCTCTGTTCTCTTATGTCGTGCAGCAGCTGCATGGCCTTATCGTCCTCTCTGGAGACCTCGACGCGTGCCTCCTCCAAGCTCCGCTTCAGGCTCTGCAGACACATGCATGCAAACACAAGGTCCAATCAACACGGTCGGTGGTGTAAAAGCTGCACAGATGTCTGAATGAGCAATCACCCCTTTAACAACGGCACATTCAAACATTCTCCGGCAGCCTACCAACACATCTGAATGAGCTGGTAGTATGACTCACACTGCACTCAGTAATGTAGGTGGCGAGGTCTTGCTCCAGGATGCTTCTCTGCGTCTCGGACGCCTTCAGCTCCACATCCTTCTGGTGGAGCACTGACTCCAGGTCAGTCATTTTACGCTGGAACCTGGAGATTTCTTGCTCCATCTTAACGCAAAGAAGACACATTATATTCCACGCCTTCAAGCGAAGGTTAAAAATTTAAGGCAATAAAGAAAGAAAGAAACCGTGGTTTTATGCTCAGACTGTGAAATGTGACCATACGCTGCATGAAAATGACAAAAATGAGCAGCAATATGTTCCGTGTGCCAACTCGCACTTGGCCAGTAAAGCTTACTCTGATTCAGATTATGAGCGATTTCTCTGACCCATCGCACCACCGTCAATGCCGCAAATTACAAAGATGTGATGTTGTACAAACAAAAAGATTATCTTGGCTTATTGAAGCACAAACAGAAGCTTCTCTGATCTGTGTTAAGCCAGTCTGCCAGAATAAACACGACGAGTCTGGTAATAAAACCCACATTGTTGGGTCGATTTTGTTCAAAATCCAAAACGTGCAAACAGAATTTTACAGTTTCCAATAAGGAATTAGTCGCTTTGGTTTGCATGAAATTTCTTTTCAGAGGATGCTTACAACAGAGTTTTGGAAAGAAAGCTTTATTTAACAAATCTCTGTTGAGAATGAATGCTTTAGTGACAATGAACTGTGATGAAATATAAAAACGTGGCTTTGCTCTCCTACCTTATGGCATTTGTCTTGAGTTTCCTGTAATTCTTTGCTTTTCAGATGAAGCTTCTTTTCCATGGAGTTGGTCTTAGCAGGTGAGTTGAGGCCTGCAGACACTGACCTGAAATAACAGCATGTCAAGAGAGTCCTTAGTGGACTGAAGAAAAACACAGGTCCTTCAAACTAACTGCAAAACACACTGCAATAGTAGCAAGATACATCGGTATTGCCCGATTTTAGTCTTTTCTGAGCATATCAGGATCGGCCCAATAGATAAACATGGACGGATAATGATAACAAAATAAATTGAGGGGTGGCAGTGGCTCGGGAGGTAGGGCTTCATCCTGTAACCTGTAAGACTGATCTTCAAATTTTGTCAAGTATGCTTGTTCTACATTTAAATTTGGTTTACAACCTACAGTATATATACATTTGTGTAATGGCAAAGCAAAACACAAAACCTAAAAATGCATCTTAAATTAATTAAAGTACAGGTCAAGTCTAGTAAATGTGATTCAGCCCAAGTCACGTAAGGCTGGCAGCCAATCTTCGATTCTGTCCAGAAATTATTGCACCATCATTATTAAAGCTCCCTTAAGAGCAAGGACACACACACATTATGACAGGAAGACTTTATAATGCTGTAATAAAAATTATAATGCAGACACAAAACCCACCATCGAAAATAAACATCAAGGTTTGCCTTGAATCAGTTCTTTCTATTTAGAGGCACATCGAGTCCAACAATAACACTCCTGCCAACAGTTTGGGTGAGATGAATGAAAGCCTTTGAGAGGAGAGAATATCATCTATTTTCTATTCAATATGGTTTATTCAGTACAAAAACAAACTGCAAGGAAGAAAAATAAAGAGAGATGCAGGCATGGAAATATTTCCTCTTTTTCTGACTAAATAATGTGACAGAGAATTTTGATTGTGTTGTTGTTTATCATGGGTCTACCCATCTTTAACTGCACAGTGAGTTTAACATTTCTTATCTTTTCTGACTTGTTTCCTTTGGAGCATTAAGAGCACGCAGTTGATGCGGTTTAATCTGCTGTGCCGGAGACAAAACGGCTTCTGGAATAAATGAACAAGCCTTTATGAATGAGTTTACAAACACAGCAAAAGGATCTTTAACAAAGTTGACTCAGTCTGAGTCACCGTGTTAAAAATAACACCACAAAAGCAATCCCTGCTCTCTGTGCTTGCTGCAGTGAGGAGAGATCCCCTTGAAACATATCAATACACGGAGCATACACTACATAATATAAAGCAGAATCCCCCACCCACCCACTCACATTGAGCTGTGCTATATAAAGACTGAAACGCCACATCAGTCATTTATTTCACGGGAATCCTGATTAAAACTGAAAGCGAACAAGCAGCCAACATAATTATGTTAGGAATTCACTTATCTCACTGCTGTTTAGTTGAATAGTTAAAAGAGGCTGTGTGGAGAAAACACTGTAGTGATTAAAAAGCTATCCAGTTGAGGTTTTCAGGGTTGAGGCCTACTGTTTTTCCTATCCATCTTTCACACAAGTGACAAAAGGAAGACGGATATCATTCCTGCACATTGAAAATGAGTACGAGTACAAACCCTCTGCGGCTCTATCATGTTGTAGGAAGAAGAGAAAATAAAAAAAAAAATAAAAAATGTAAAGGAGAGAAAATACTAGAGCCCTCTGTAAAGAACATGGTGGTTGTCATTTCTTTGAACTATGGCTGAAAAATAAATGAGGACTCAGTGCAGACCGCATTACTGAGGGGAATCGATAAAAGACAGGAACAGGAGGAAGGCATGTATGTTTAAGGCTTATTAGCATTGATCCGGTGTATACACGGAATATATTTATGACGCAAGAGAAATATGAATATGAAGAAAAGCCACGTCAAGGCACAAGGTTCTAACAGCAGCTAGAAATCAGGATCAACAAAGCAATAGAAAGATTGTGTCTTGGAAATCAGTTTTATGCAAATTTCTGATCATTTGGGGGGGGGGGTTCAAAGCAAAACAGTCTAAACAACACCTATCCATTAAAAACATGCATCATCTGGTGGCAAAAATCAGTCATATTTTACCAATATTACCATATTTATGAACATGAGGAACAACTTAGGATTGCTTCGTTTAAATTAAACTCTCATTTTATACTTTCAAAATTGTTACTTCTAAATGTCTATATAATAAAAGAGCATTTCTTACAGAAAATTGTGAATTAATGAGTGAAATGCATAAGATCTCCAAACCAAGGATCAGGACTGATCTGGCAAACAATATCAAGGTATACTAAGGTTTTATGGTTAAAATCCACAACAATTAGAGGTTTTTCTGGCTGCATGAAGTACACAGTATTGAAGTTAAGCCCCTCCTTCACTTGTTGCTGCACATTGCCTATCTGCCGACTGAATAATATCGCCAATAGGCTTTTAGCAGATTGGAGAAATCTCTGGCTGTCAAAAACACAGAAGATCGTGGTACAGACACTGAAGGAGAACCAGCCAATGCCATAGGTAAAGTACCTGCTAGGAAGCTACAATCAACACGCCTGTTAAACAGCTGCCTGCAGAGTGGCTACCTGAGCAGACAGCCTGACTAACTAAAAGCCAGTTTCGGCTTAGTCCACTTATGTTGTATGAAGATATAACATTCTGTGCTAGGGTTGCACATCTGTGTTTCTATCACTCTGTGCGACCTTTAACATTTTGGGCAATGTCATTTGCATCCGATGTGAACATCTACAGCTGTGACAGTCGCTTGGGATATGAATATTGCATACACTTGTATTGTGATGATGACATAGTTGCGATGTATTTTGCAGCCCTTTTTTATTCAATAAGCACCGACTTTAAATGTAGCAGGTATTTAGTTTTGAAAGATTTACTAAAGGTCAACATGACAAATACCTTACAAAGGAGTTTTACTTCCTCACCCTATAATATTCAAGTGGGGCAACTGGTGCTAAGAGGTAAGTCTGAAAGCTCCACTTATGATAGGATATCAAAGCTTCCAACCGTCCTCAGCAGATATCTCCAAAACTGTGGGCATTAGCTGCCAACAAAGCTCACTAAAGAGTAACCTTACACCACGTTATAACTTTGGACAAGAGTTAAATGGTCAGCTAAATGAATACAACTTATCCTCTGGAGACTTTGAATAAAACTTTTACACACCCTGCCAGCCATCTGGCATCATTCAGGGAATTCTAATAAGGAGCTGTCAACGTATCATACTCTCAACCTAAGTGTTAGATGACAGACCAGAAAGACTTTCTACTCTACTCTAGTCAATCACAATCGTCAGTAGACAAGAGAAACTCCTCAAACCAAACACATTACGGATACACTGACGAGCACAGAATATAATGAAATGTAACAATGATTTCTTGGCACCAGGCAACAGAAGGCTTCTCAGAAACATGAGGCAAGCTGTGGAGGAGATTTTTGTTGTAGTTTTCCTAATGAGGAGTCGGGCAATCAAGGTCAAAAAGAGTGAAAAGCAAATAAATCATGACTGGAAACCCCAAAACACATGATTAGCATGTCATTATGCCTGACTCTTGGCTTATTACCCTATCCCCCCTTTTTTTTTTTTGGAATTGCAATGAAGATTGTGGACATGCATATGCATGCACCCACACGATACTGAAAGATTGTTAGGGTTCTGGGCTTCTCTTTGTCAAACACCGCAAACAAAACGACTGGCTTCAGTTGAAAAGCTCTAGCAGATGAGTGATGTTATAACAGCAAGAGACAGAGACATTAGAAGAGGGAGAAAACAAGAGGAGGAGATAAGACCGGTAAAGATGGGGGTGGGGGCTGAAGAGGGGAGGGAAAAAAAACATCACGGTAGTAACCATAGAAATAGATTTTCTCCCCCAATCTGAGCTCTCAGCCTTTTTTTTCTGTCTGATCTGCTAACGCTTTTTCTTCCCTTTCTGTTGCTGCTGCTGCTGTCATGATCCGCAGTCTCTCCAGCACCATTAACCGGAGAGAGCACCGGCCCAGGGAGGGGGCTAGAGAACTGAAACCCGTCCTCCTGCTTTATTATCAGAGGTTAAGAAGCCAAATACCATAAAGATAAATTACATTCCCAAGCTTGGGCTGTTAAAAGTCAGGAGCTCATTATGTCTCACAGGGAAACGGTGAAACCACAACAACGGCAGCGACGGTGGGAGTGTGCCTGTGTGTGGGGTTCCACGTCTCAGAAAACCTCATTGACACACTCAGCCGCATACCAATCAGTGTTCATGGAAAGATAACGCAGCCCAGCATCCTCTGGTTCGTTTATTTTATCTGCCTACGCATCGGATGAGCCATGTGTGGTCGCAAAACACACAAAACAAGAAAGAAAAATAGAAATCATGAGAAAGAAATATCAGAAATTAGCTCCGATTCCGTTCTCGTTTTAAACATCGAATGGACAAATTAATTTTAAGCCCCAACAGGCAGAAAACTATTAACATAGACAAGACCAGCTGCCCAGGCCACAATGCTGGGTCACCTGGAAGAGGGCTACCAGCATATTATGAAGCCCAACAGCAGCAAAGGAGCCAGTGTTAGTATGGGGGAACAACAAAGATGTTACAGGAGGCATATGCAAAGGAAATGATGATTACTGTGGATTCACTGTGAATTAAAGGGAAAGAGAAGACCAAAACATATTGGTAAACAAGTAGCACTTACTCAGATTTGGCCAATGCTGTTAATGCTCTGCTGAAGAACCAGCCTAGAAAGGGCAGATCCTGGCCCCGGAAGCCTGCTGGCACAGCTCCTCGCTGGGTTGCTGAGGCTGGCCAGGGGGCAGCCTGCTCCGGCTCCTCAAAATTAGAGGCGTCATCCTCAGCATGCAACGCAGGAACGAAAGGCGGCGGAACTGCGAGAGTAAAAAAGGATGAGAGAGGAGGGAACAGAAGAGGGCAAGGAAAAAAAAAAAAAAAGGTAGTAAAAAAATTATGTTTAAAAGAACAACACAAGGAGAAAGGAAAGAGAAAGGAAGGGAGGAGGAGCAGAGCGGTGGGAGCCTAGAGTGCGGCAAGTCGCGCGTTGATGCACATGCTGCCTGTGTTCCTCCCTCCACCTCTCTCCTCCTTTCATACACATGCTCGCTCGCTCTCCCTCACTGCAGCAGAGCGAGCTAATCAGCTGGAGTCACAGCTGAAGCAAAAAGCTCCATCTGTGTTGAACTGTCAATAAACAAGGACTGAATATCTAATGCAAACATGTAAACATGAGATACTTCTTAAACAGTGTTTTATATCAAGAACAGATTTCCCCCCCAAATTGTATAAAGGTGTTTAAATTTTTTAATATAAAATAATCAACACTTTTCAGTTTTCAAAAGTCTATCATAAATACTACTTGCAAAGAGGACATCTTTCAAATGAGAAATATATGATAAGAAAATTTAATGAACACATCAGATCTGATGAGCAAAAAAAGATGAGTTTGCTTACAACAAGTGTATTTAACCAGTAAACTGGGATACTGGTCAGACACGTTTGACAGAAAATATTTCTTCAAGGGTTAGAGTTGTGCTTTTTCCAAAAGCTACTCAGCTGACGCTGTCGAACCGAACAAAAACAACGATGTTAAATCATCAGGCGTGTGCTTCCACCACGGAAAGCCTGCTGGTGTAGCCTGCGTTCAGGATTTGTGCTGCGTCTGTTAAGAAGCAGATGAGTTGCAGATCTTCACCGTCAGCCTTCCTCCCATTTTCTCCCCTACAGAAGGAGCTGGCCCGCTGCCAACGGCTCACAGAGGCTCATTATTTCACAACTGAAAACGCCTTTCATAATGCAATTACTCTTTGTTGCTTGCATACATCCAGAAGCATATAAACACACCTATAGAGAGACTAAGCATTTGTTCATACTGTTACTACGAGGCAGAAAACAGAGTGTCAGAAGGAGGGGATTCCCCCCACCTTGTCTTAAGTTGTTCCAGTCTACATTTGAGAAGAAGGCGTGACACCGCAGTCCCTGGTAGCCCAGACGCTCTCTCGCTCCACACAGCAAGCCCCGCACCAAGTCAACAAACTGCTTACTGGCATGAGGCTCTTCTGGAAACTTTAAGTAACGCTGGAGGCAAAGGAGATGGGCATTCAATAATTATTCATTTCTTGAATAATATAATGACTAGATTTATTTTTTCTTTAAATGATCACCGTACCAGACATACCTGAAAATTAAGAATGTTGTTGATGGTCTTGGTAGATGTGGCATCAGAAAAAGGAGACTTGGCGTAGATCATCTCATATGCAATAACGCCAAGGGACCACCAGTCGCACTCAACCCCGTAGGTGCTCTGAGAGCCGCCGTTTATGACTGTCAGGACCTCTGGGGACAGAAAGTCCTGGGTTCCAACAGGGACTGTGGCAGTGGCTACCTGGAAACATTTAGAAAATACTTCAAATACCAGTAAACTGTGGGTTACTGGTATTAAGACTAACCAAGGTATTAAAAAAAAATAAATAAATAGTTTAAAAGTCGCAAAATTTTTCAATCATACCGCTAATGTGGTTTACAGGATTACTATACCCTTCAATGCACAAGTCTATATGGCCACAAATTTATAGAGTTTCAACATTTTTATTTAAATTATTTACATTTGAGTTCAAACTTAATTCCGAACCTGCCTCTATCGTAGAATTTTACACTCAGTTATAAAGCAGCACACGTTCATTTAAACTGGCCAAGATTTATTAAAAATGAATGGCTTTTATGACTGCACATTCAACATTTAATAGGATAGGACACAATTAAAGAATTACAGTTTACCAGAAAACAAACAAAATACACCATGGCATAATTAGACTTCTTTTAGAAAATGGAAGAAAGAAAAAAGTCAAACTCAAATCAAACTAAATTCCACTTTTTATGTTAGCATATAAAATTTATTTTAATAAGAGTCAGAGTAAGGACTTTAATGCAGCACTTCCTCTGCTGCAGGATTCTGCCTACTCCCAGTCAGCCAGCTAAAAAAAAGACGATACTATATTTTTCTTGTACTTACCAACCAACTGGCATGTTTGGAAATATTTCCATCTTGATAAAGTCAGTCAAAGCTGCTTTGAAACTCCATAAGGCAAAGGTATCCATAGGTTTTTAAACTTTGCAGTAATACTAGGAAACCTTCACTCAACGTTATCAAATTTCAAGATCTCATTCAACCAACCCATTTCAGTGAGGTCACTGTTAATAACACTGAAGTCAAGACCCTGTAATCTACTTACGGTTTTGTTTGCAGTCAACTTGGCAGCTGATCCAAAATCGGCGAGCTTAATGTGACCAGTCCGGTCGATGAGAATGTTTTCTGGTTTGACATCTCTGTAAGGAAATATTTTATAGGACATATGATACTGCTTTTAAAAAGCTTTTTGTTGCCTCAGTACTTTAACAAGTCAGCTACTCTAAGTTTAATGGAGCACATTAGGAAACATCAGCATTGTTTTTTTTTTTTTTATACTTTATGCTGTCTGACTCGGACGTCAAAACCAATTTAGTGAAAAACAAAGTAGCAAAACCAACTCATAAACTCTAGTGGCTCTTCCTTTTACCACACTCTGAAGGGAAAGCAGTAAAGAGATAGATATAGCTTCGAGTGTCTAACCTGTGGACGTAACCCAGCTGGTGGACTGTCTGAATGGCTTCTACCAACTCAGCCAAATAAAACTGAGCCATTGACTCGTCAAATTGATCCTCGTATCGGTTCAGCAGAGACATCAGGTCACCGCCTGGCAAGTACTCCATGGCCTCAAGACACACACACAGACAGACAAAGTCGATAGAAAAGAACACAATAACGGAACACAAATAAAATATGATGCAATAAAATAAAACATTACATTTTAGAACTAGACAATATATCGAATCCCAGCCACAATTTCAAAGTGTGCAACACTGAGAACTACTTACATCTAGTATTTGGTAGGATATAATATTTCAGGGTCCATCCGTTATGTTTGTAAACAACATATTTGGCCACTCTGATGGACTTTCACTTTCTTATATGCCCACACTTGATTTATATCATGAAACACCACTATGCATATGTCCCAAAATTTCATCTGATTTTTTTCAAAACTAGAAAGAAATAACTGTCATATTTACAGACAAACCAGTGGGAGTTTTAAGTTAGGATGCATTTCGTAAACACAAAACATTTATTGTACTGTTGATTTTGGGCCGATCAAATGCAAACTGGCTGATTTCAATCGCTGAATATTTATCATCTACATGAGACAGCAATAAGTGTTGGATCACATATCATGCATCTGAGCTCACATCAAAGCTATGTGCAGATTAAGCTCATAGGGTATTTCTCCTCATTATAAATTCCTTATGTAAGGAGCGGATACTATTACAGATTTATCTCTGATACCGCAGTCAAAGCATTGCTAAAAATAGACCAAGAATACCCGCAAAATCCCTGTGCAGTGTGTATTGCTGTGATCAAAGCGTTAAATAACACCCTTCCGGCGAAGCAAACATGCCAGAAATTATATCTCATTCAATATTTGCATACATTTTATCTGAAAACACAAATAACTGAAGATTATTTTGGCAGTCTTCTGCACCTTGAGGAGAAAGAAACTGGTCAAGTTGATTGGAGCTATTCGGTTCCTTCAACACACACACTTAACAGGCGAGAGCCCCTGGCGCATGAATGGTCTGAGAGTCTGAATGAACAGGAGCATTCTCTAGCGTTACCTAGCAACAGAGAGACTGGGAGCCTCTCTGACACACGGATAAAGATGGATGCTTTGTATTTTTGTCCATGCTCAGTTAGTGAGCAGGGTGGGAAAGGGGGGCAGTGAAGAAGAGCGATGAAGAATTGAGATTGACACGCAGGGAGCATTAAGTAAGATATATATATATATATATATATAAGGGGGAGGCAGAAAAAAACCTCACTATGTAATGTACAGCTTTACTGAGCAGAAAATTCCTTTTCCTTCAACCTCAGTCAATGTGGGGTCAACACAAACAAAGATTGGGTTGTGTAAGAAAAAGGGTCGGTTTAGAGGCTGACAGAAACACAATTTTTGTAGAAAAGTTTCCTTCACTGAATCTAAATAAACTCTAGAGATGTTTAAAAAAAAGACAACCAGCCACACTTTGCCAGACTGATACACTGAAGAAGAGAATAGCATGAGTCATGTCATTAATCATAAGAGGGGGTTAAAAGGATTTCTAGAGGTCTTGCACATGCTTTACTAAATTTTTAAGCCTCATCTTTGCAGCTGACT